GCTTTCACAACGAAGCACACAGCGTCTTCAGGACATGGCTGCAGCGTCAACAATACTACAGCGAGAATAAAAGTGAATAAAAGTAAAACTTTCTTTGCGTGAACATTTGGGAGGCGTTATGCAAATCTTCCCAAATCGTGACGTAGGTATGTGGGGGCGTGTTAGAACGAGCCGTTTTAGGTAAGCGTGGTTAACTCTTAACTTTTATAAAGAATATCTCTTTGGTAGGGGTGTAACGATATAATCGCAGTACGATATTTCGCGATGCAAAAATGTTACGATATGTATCGTAGACTGGTGGCGATACTTTTACGATATGACGGCAGACTAATCCTATTGGTTGAGCTGCCGACGTGACCTACTCTGCAACAGCGTCGCGTGTGCTTTCCTCGCAGTTGCAGAAATCGCTTAAACTGAACAATAGTCTGGCAACATGAGTTTGGCTGAAACTGAAATTGAAGATGCCCTATCTTCTTATAAGTCCGACGTCTGGCAGCATTTTGGTATTCCAGTCACGCGACAGGACGACGGTAAAAAAATTACAGACAAAACACAAACTGTTTGTAAACACTGTAAAACAAGGCATACACAATGGCCATACACAACGTCAAACACTTAGAATATGATGTGCCATTTAAAACGGCATCACAACAACAAACTCCTGCCACAAAAAGGGTGAAAGAAGGCCAAACATCTATACAACGCAGTTTTGCTGCAACATGGTCTCAGTCAAGTGCGAAAGCTCAAGAAATAACCAGATGCATCAGAGTTTTTATTGCAAAAGACATGAGACCATTTTCTGTGGTCGAGAATGTTGGATTTCGCGAATTGGTTGGCGTAATGGAGCCCAGATACCATATTCCGTCACGCCCGCACTTCAGTCAAGAGGTAGTTCCAGCCCTGTACTGCGAAGCTAAAGCAAAGGTGGTCGACGGTCTGAAAAAATCAGAGAATGTGGCAATAACGACTGACGGGTGGACTTTGCGGGCTTGTCAGAGCTATATTACAGTCACGGCGCATGTTATTACCACAGAGTGGGAAATTAAAAGTTTTGTGCTTCAGACTCGCCCGCTTTTTGAGTCACACACTGGAACTAACATAGCCGGAGTTTTAAAAGCGGCTATACAAGAGTGGGAGCTTGAAAGGGCTCCTCATAGTACTGCTGTTGTTAGTGCCAACACCCGCAACATGGAGGTGGCAGTGAGAGAAGCCGGGTTGTCACCGCATATTAAGTGTTTTTCACGCACACATTGAATCTTGCATCGCAAGCAGGTTTAAATGTTTCTCGCGTCAGTCGCTTGCTTGGTCGCGTGAGAAAAGTCGTGGATTTTTTTCACCGCGGTGCCACAGCAACAGCTGTGCTCGAGGAAAAGCAAAAGATGCTTGAGATCGCATCACATAAGCTTATCATGGATGTGGTAACACGATGGAACAGCTCCATTTTAAATTTTGTTCAAAATATCGTGATATATATCGTATCGTGAACCCAGTATCGAGATACGTACCGTATCGTGACCTGAGCATATCGTTACACCCCTACTATTTGGTTTTGAGACTTTAGTCTTTGTAACTTTACAGATCTTCTTTATGCACCAACAGCTTGGAACACTCCAAAGAGAAAGGACAATTTTAAATCGCATCATATGACCCCTTTAAATAATATTTTATGATATTACAGTTTTTACTGTATTTTGCGCAAAAGAGACTCAAAAACATAAAAAAATTAAAATCTTGAAACTTTGTAACGGTAGAGTGTGGGACTAATACATCCAAAAACATAAACTTTAACTGTACCTGTCCAGGTGAGCAATTGTGACAATCTCTCCTCCAACAAAGTAGTTGAGTCTGTTGACAGAGCTGGTGTAAATGAAACAGTCTCCCACCCACAGACCAGTCTTTACCACTTCCTGAATCTCTCCCAGGACCTACACACACAAACACACACGATCAGGAGCTCAGACCATGGGTTTCAAATCTTTTAAGTCAATATTAAATCAAAATTGACTTTGAATTGATCTTAATATAAATTCTGGTTGTACTGTGAATGATTTATTGTTGAATGATTTATTTATTCCATTTTCTATTTACTGTGATTTTTGTCAATTACAGGGACAATTCAGAACAAACAAATAGAAAAGGCAAGATGCAAAGGGAATTCAATTATTTTTTTTTATAATTATATTAAAATGTAACAACTTGCTCTTTCTCGGAAGCAACTCTTTTAATCTGGTTAAACATGACTGTTTTTAACTCTGATGTACACCCTACCTCAAAAGCATCTTCAATACCGTCTTCAGTAATCCCCTCATTTGATTCCTGTGATGCAGCCACCTTCTCTGACAGATAGCGCAGGATGAAGAAAGACTCCTCTGTGGCAATGCACACCAGCTCACCGGAGTCTGACCAGAAAATCTGAAAATAGATGCAAGATGCAATTGGTCCAGACAGACTAAAAAATGACCCAATCATGCAGACAAAATAATGGAGGACTGTCTGGAGCAGATGACTCACGTGTTTGGGCTGGATCTCAATGCGGCGAATCAGCTCTGTGTTATCCCAGTCATAGAAAGCCAAGCCATTCACTGATCGGACACCCAGCAGGAAACCACCATAGATGCCTGCAAACACATTTACAAAAAACTATAAGCAGTTTTACTACATTCGGCATGAAATGTAACGGATATGCAATATGCTATGTGCAAGTAAATTATTTTGTGCTTATTACATTTGCATAAAAATTGTGAATACTGCCCATGATACAAGCGTAAAGCAGTTTACCTTCTGCTCCAAAGTCTGGCTTAAAAGATTTTTTCTCCTTAAAATTTTTGAAGATCTTCACCACACTGCTGCTTTCCCGAATCGCATACCTTAAATTAAATCAATTAACATCAGTATTAAGTGTTTTTGACAGTCATCTCCTACATCCATCTTCTACATGCTTGTAGAGTACTTACTCAGATGAATCATGGGCCCAGACAAACTCCTGTGCAGATCCAAAGCTCTTATTTCTCAGAGCCATGGCGGTGTAGATGATGTACTCTCCATCTCCGCACACCACCACAAACCTAAACACAATGTAAAATTATGTTTCCATTACTAAATTGCAGCAAGGATCAGGCGACATGTAAATGAGCGGCATTAAAGGATAAAAGTTGGTGGTTCAACGGATCACAACTCTCACGGTTCGGATCATATTATGGTTTTTGAACCACGGATCAGATCGTTTTTCGGATCAGCAAGAAAATCCCAAAAAATAATTTCAATGTAACTTTGCTTTCCATAAGTACTTCTTCAATACCACAGCAAAAAAATTCTAGCCTAAGAAAGTTCAAACATTATTAAAAAGACAAGTGAACAGCCAGTAAAAATAAGAACGAATACACAAATTACAAGCATAGATAAATACAACAGAATGTTACAAATAAAATAAGGTTGGTAGTATTCAGGTACAAAAATGTAATAATTAAATGTAAAATAACTGTACAGTGTTCACTGTATAAATTTAAAAAAAATATTATTTTTCGTCAAAAATGTGTTTTGTTGTTTGATGAGCATAATGACAGCACCAGGTATTATTAGGTTGCTGCCCCTTTAAGATCTGATGCACGGATCCAATATAATGATACACGTCCGATTTCTTTCTCAGCTGTTCTCGTTCACTTAAGACATAACCAATTCGTTCAACCACTAATAGATGTGGTGGTCTTACCTTCCATTAGGATTGTGCTGGATGGTTTGAGGGTAGATCTCACAGCTGCCCATGTCTTTCACGGCCAGTGGCAGCCTCTCACCATCCTTGATCTCAGCATCTCCCATGGCTTTGAGGTTAGCCTGCTGAATCTCAGAGTGCTTGGCCCAAATTATTTTTCCACTGGTGTCCATTGACATGGCTGGTTCCTCACGACCGAGCTAAAGCACAAATAAAAAGCGGTTAACTTACAGAGAACTCACCCCATGAGATATAACATTATATAAATTATTCAGATAATTTATGTTAATTTAAGTAGACAGAAATGTCATGTAAATCTATCTATATACCTTACTGTTCAAAAGCAGAAAACTGCTTAATATTTTTGTGGAAACGGGTGATACTTTTTTCAGAATGCTTTGAATAGAAAGTTCAAAAGAACAGCATTTATTTGAAATATAAATCGTTTGTAACATTATCTATCCTCTACCGACTCCCTGCTGACAGCCCTGGCCCTGGAGCAACATGATGGCTCTCTTGTTGCAGGGACTGAACTCTCCAATTACCAGCCCAGAGGTTCAGCCAATATGTTACACCACTGACAGGAAACAGCATGGTGTTACTTTTGAATTATTTTTAGTACCTTGATAATGATGCTGCCTTCATCATAGCCCAATGCCACATTGTTGGAGCCGCGCAAGCCAGACACGCACCACACCCGCTCCATACCATAGTTCAGGGTGCTCTCCAAACGATAAGTGCTGGAGTGCCAGATACGAACCGTGCCTGAATAACAAAAAAAAGACAGTTAAATTTGCATCAGGAATGAGGTACTTTAGTTTTATAAAAGAGATCATTAAAAGATCTATAACATTTTAACATTATGTGCCACAACTCACCGTCCTCTGATCCAGTGATGATGATTGGCAGCTCTGGGTGGAAGTTTACACAAGACACATTCTGAGCGTGACCCTCGAGCGTCTGCACACATGTCTTATTCTAAAGAGAGAGAGGTAACACAGAACATAAGTAAATGAACGGCGAGGAGTGACTTGCTGCATTAAGCATGTCAATATCATTCAAACCTGATAGTCCCAAATCTTGACCAGTCTGTCATCAGCTCCAGATATGAGGTAGGGTTTATCTCCTCCACTGTAATAATCAATGCAGTTCACCCCCTTATCATGGCCCTCCAGAGTGAAGTTAGGAGAGGAAGAGCCCAGCTGCCAAACCTGAAACAAAACACAGAAGAAATTATAGGTGAAATGTCACAAGTCAGATTCAAATTTGCTCTATCCACATGAATGTTCAAATGTACCTTGATGGTTCTATCCAGCGATGCACTTGCAAACTGGTTGTTGTCTTTAGGGTTGATGACAATCTGCATAACATAGTGTGTGTGGCCCTCAAACACCTGACTGCAGGACCATTTCTTCTCCCAGTCCCAGAGCTTTATCAACATGTCATCTAAACGTACACAGAACCAATGAGTGTTAAACACAAAAAATTGTACATATACACACCACAGTTTAAATGTTTGGGGTTGGTGCAATTTTTTTTAATGTTTTTAAAATAAGTCTCTTATCCACACCAAGGTTGCATTTATTTAATCAAAAAGAGGAACATTGTGAAATATTCTTATGATTTAAAATAACTTTTTTTTTTCTAGTTTAATACTTAAAAAATGGCAAATTAGATTTATCAGTAGCCATTACTCCAGTCTTCAGTTTTTAATATGCTGATTTGGTGCTAAAAAACAAACAAACAAAAAAACAGCATTTATTTGGAAATAGAAAACTTTTGTAAAACTATAAATGTCTTTTTTTTACTGCCAATTTTGATCAATTTAATGCATCCTTGATGAATAAAAGTAATACTTTCTTTAAAAATAATCTTACTGACTCAACCAATGGCGGTGTAATATGTTATACACATTAATCTATGCATATATGTACAATATAAATACTTTATGCAAATTTAATCTGTACATACCACTGCTTGTGAGGATGTAGGGCTGGGTGGGATGAACAGCGATGCAGCGAATGTAATCTGAATGGGCCTCAAACATGTGTACTCGCTCTAGTGTATTATAGTTGAAAACCCGAATTTGCATGTCATCCTACAAAAAAGGGAGGAAATTTATTACAAGTTCCATATTTATCTATTATCATGTATATATCTATCTATTATATATTATTACACATTTATTTATTATTGCACCATTTCAAGAACAGTATTAATATCTATTACACACTAGTGAATATTATTATTATTCACGTATATACTTACAGCACCAGTAATGACCCAATTTTTCCTGGCAACAAATTTGGCGGCTCTTACTGGAAGGTCACAGACTTCAAAAGTCTTAACCAGAGTCTATGAAAGATCATTATTAGACATTATCAGACAGACGTGCAACACACACTGCTGTATCCCTAATGTTAAGATGGTAATATATTGCAAATGCTGAAAAACATAAGGTCTGCTAGTCACCTGTGTTTCATGGTTCCACACACAGACACTGCCATTGTACAGACTGGCCAGCATCCATGGCTCGGACGGATGAAGGTCTACGCTTTTGACACGGTCAGATCGAGCCGTGAGTTTGCGCTTGATGTCCAGCCTCAGAGGCTAGAAAAGAAGAATCAAAATCACTATTACTATTACAAACAAGTTGATCTTAATTAGGGATGCACCGATATGAAAATTTTGGCCGATACCGATAACAGCATCCATTCTCTTTGGTTAGCAGCAGCAAATAGTGTACACTGTAGTAAGTACAGTAGTAACGCCAATAGTCAACACAAAAAGCACAAAATGTATCTTTTTTTAGGAACAGAAAGCAGTGACATTATACAGTCTATGCATTCAACCTTGACTGTTTTTCCCCACAAGTAAAACACTAAATTGCTATTTGTCACCCAGTTAAAAGTCCGATATTGTAACAGCAGCAAACTTTTCAGCACAGTTAATAAGCAACAAAATTACAACAAATCAAGCCTCTTCCAGATCCAGATAATGTCAGGAATTACCGTTTTACTGAACAGAATATATACGTACAGCAGCACATTTCGACAGTGCTTATTTACAAGTCCTTAATGTTAAAGTCACATTCATATCATCAGCTGTTAGCCAGCACAAACTATTTCACTTCATAACAACATTTAAGTGAGCAATTAAGTTATAATATATGTAAGTGTAAGGCTTTAAATGGACGTATTAACTATAAAAATGAATAAATAATTCACAGACTGACTGAATGATAAAGCTGTCTATGTGGCCATGGGCCTTCAAGGCTAACAGCGCAAGCTAACGTTAACATTACTCAAAGCGTATTTTTCCTCAATATCTAATATTAATGTCTAATATTGCCAATAACACGGATACTGATATCACACTTACCATGTTTGTGTTTGCTGGTTTTGGTCTCCTTCACCTGTAGTATTTTATATCATCCACTGAGAGTCTGATGTGTTCTCCGGCTGCAGTTTTGTGCACGGACTGCAGCCAAATGTGACGTGGAACTTCCTCAAAGCCCGTGTGCTTGAAGTCGGAAGCGTTGACGTGACACTCGGACGGCTTCGGAGTGCTTCGGGTAATTTCGGTTAAACTCGGCTTTTTTGAGGGACGCTGCATGGCGATAGGCGCTTGCGGTGAAATTGAGTTTAACCCTTACCTGTCACGCCAAAAAAGGCACCTTCAATGTACTTATGATGAATAACACGCCAAAAATACAGTGCTCATGTTTAAAACATTCAGATATGATAAATATTAAAACGTAACAAATAGGGCTAGTCGTCATACAAGGAATCTGTTACAATGGCTACATCTCAGTAGCCTATAGCCTTGAGTCAAAAGTACAATTACACAATTGCTTGTTTTCTACATTGTATCTCTGTGCATATTCAAAAAACGAATTACTAATGATTATTAAAATAATAGTTAGACAATATACCTATTATAATGAAGTCAACCTGTTTGCACATTCTTCTCTTGTACATTCCTGCTCATCTAAATATTTATTAAGCCTACAGTATACTGTCCTGCGCATTTTATTTTATTCTTATTTTTTATCTTACTTTTTCCATACCTATATTTATATATAATTTTCTTGTGTTTGTATTCTTTAATAATTGCCCTGTCCATGGAGCGGACCTGACTTACATTTCACTGCTGGTCATATATTCCCTATATAACCATGCATGTGACAAATAAAAATCTTGAATCTTGAATCTTGAATTAATTAACAGGTTTGATCACTTTAGGCTATGTGTCTCTTCTTACATTGTTCTTCTTACAATGAAAATATAAATCATGTATATAATCAATTAATATGTATTTTAAAAATGTGAGGCTTATTAGTGCATGTGAGCAAGAGAGAGAGAAAACGAATTTTTATTTTTAAGTTTAACTAAGTTACATTCACAAGAAATGATGAGTCATAACATCTCATTATCTTTATTTAGACAGAAGGAAAACACATTCTCCTACAGAAGTGTTGAACGTGTTAATCGGGTTAATACACATCTCGATTTTGATAGACTTGATAGTAGAACAACATGAACTGAATCACATGACAAATCAGTCTTTTCTTTTGTACACTTGCTGGCACACAGCGTCCTCACATGTCAGCTCCTGCAAGTGAAATGATCATGAGGTCAAGACGTATCCATTGTGAGTACACAGCAAAACGGGAATTGTGCAGGAAAAAAAATGTGTAAACTGGAATACTTGTATCATTCATCTTCTTAATTAGAAATATTTCTAAAAATGATAGTTGATTCTAACATTAATCAGGTTATTATTATCCATAGAATGACAGAATGCTCACCAGATACAGTTTGTCAACTTCTATCCAGTGTTTCCATCCCCGGTTGGCTTTCTCACCTTTCTGGATGGCCACCAATTTGTCCCCTTCCCAGGTCACCAGAGTCTGTGTATGTAAAAAAACATATATATATATATATATATATATATACACACACCTCAATAACTGGACTGTTATTACACAAATTTTATGATTTATTTTTATATGTTTACTATTTATTTAATAAACAGATTTTTTTTGATCATTATACAGTATATCATCATATAAAAATACATTTTCATTGAGGAGAGCTATTAGCTGTATTGTACTCTATCATTGACAGGGAGCATTGTTTATATAAAATAAAGCTGTATTCAGATGGAAACTAAAAAGAAAAAAGAAGACCTTCAAAGCATTTTTGTTCCTCTGGGCAAATGTTGTGCACTATTTGTTCTACTGTGGTTTCATCACTGAATAAACTTACTGAGATCATGGCCAACAGGCCAACACTGGGGTAACTACAGGCTAAATAACATTGTCATTAGAAGAGGATTGCAGCTATTAAATATATGTATAGTTCACCTTTAGCATCCTGTTGTCAAATCCCTTAGTAAATTCTTCCTTCTCAACTCCAACAGCGAAGCGAAGCTCATAGCTCTTGAAGGCACTCTGTGTCTTAATCACAAAGTTGTCCCCATCCTGGATAAAGGTCTTTATTGGAGTAAGGTGGACCGCAATCTTGCGGATGGCAAAGTCAATGTCTTTGAGAGTAAATATTTGTAACTTGGCATGGTCATTTCCATGATATAAACATCATATTTTAATATCATAATAAAACTGCATAATCCAAATTAAGAAATGGCACATATTGCTCTTATTTCTACTCCATTGACTTATGAAAACAGACAACTGATCAGGCTTACCCAGCGCTTTGAGGTAATTTTCAAGGTTTTCGCTCGACTCCAGCTCCCATTTTCCAGTGAAATCCACAGGCATGTTTGTGCGATGAGCTCTGAACTTCAGGAGCGTTGCCAGGTCCAGTGAGGAGGTGCACCAAAGCATTTATACTCAACTGTTATTCACAATGAGGGGAGAGGGCAGAGTAATGATAAGAGCGATCTATGACCTAATGGGAGAGGAGAGACCACCTTCACCTAAAAAAGAAATCAATACATCCATAAGCACTTACACTGTAAGAAGGATCAGGTGTAATAACCACTGGCCAGACACTTTGAAGGTTCTTCTTTCTTTTTATTGGCATTAGTTCCTGTTCTGTTTAGTTCATTCTTGTCAGTTGTCCTATTAAAATGTTCTGGATAATTGGCTCACTATTTAGTCTTGAGTTCAATATTCCCTGTGCATACCGTGATATTTGAAAGAAAAAAAATTGTTATAGGCTAGGTTAGGATGACAATTTGTTGTTATTCTGAACTCCTTAGAATATTGCATTATAAGAATCTGAATTAAAACATGTTCTTGTATAAATAAGATTTTGCAGTGATCAAGTTTGTATCCAATGCTGCTGTTTTATAGGTGTTCTGATGCTGTCTGGTACTATCTCTGCACTGCCATTGGTCACCATATGGTGTAGCTGTTCGTTTGAATGAAGCAGAGCTCTACTCAGATTTCTTGTATTGCGAATATAAAAATACATTTTCATTGAGGAGAGCTATTAGCTGTATTGTACTCTATCATTGACAGGGAGCATTGTTTATATAAAATAAAGCTGTATTCAGATGGAAACTAAAAAGAAAAAAGAAGACCTTCAAAGCATTTTTGTTCCTCTGGGCAAATGTTGTGCACTATTTGTTCTACTGTGGTTTCATCACTGAATAAACTTACTGAGATCATGGCCAACAGGCCAACGCTGGGGTAACTACAGGCTAAATAACATTGTCATTAGAAGAGGATTGCAGCTATTAAATATATGTATAGTTCACCTTTAGCATCCTGTTGTCAAATCCCTTAGTAAATTCTTCCTTCTCAACTCCAACAGCGAAGCGAAGCTCATAGCTCTTGAAGGCACTCTGTGTCTTAATCACAAAGTTGTCCCCATCCTGGATAAAGGTCTTTATTGGAGTAAGGTGGACCGCAATCTTGCGGATGGCAAAGTCAATGTCTTTGAGAGTAAATATTTGTAACTTGGCATGGTCATTTCCATGATATATACATCATATTTTAATATCATAATAAAACTGCATAATCCAAATTAAGAAATGGCACATATTGCTCTTATTTCTACTCCATTGACTTATGAAAACAGACAACTGATCAGGCTTACCCAGCGCTTTGAGGTAATTTTCAAGGTTTTCGCTCGACTCCAGCTCCCATTTTCCAGTGAAATCCACAGGCATGTTTGTGCGATGAGCTCTGAACTTCAGGAGCGTTGCCAGGTCCAGTGAGGAGGTGCACCAAAGCATTTATACTCAACTGTTATTCACAATGAGGGGAGAGGGCAGAGTAATGATAAGAGCGATCTATGACCTAATGGGAGAGGAGAGACCACCTTCACCTAAAAAAGAAATCAATACATCCATAAGCACTTACACTGTAAGAAGGATCAGGTGTAATAACCACTGGCCAGACACTTTGAAGGTTCTTCTTTCTTTTTATTGGCATTAGTTCCTGTTCTGTTTAGTTCATTCTTGTCAGTTGTCCTATTAAAATGTTCTGGATAATTGGCTCACTATTTAGTCTTGAGTTCAATATTCCCTGTGCATACCGTGATATTTGAAAGAAAAAAAATTGTTATAGGCTAGGTTAGGATAACAATTTGTTGTTATTCTGAACTCCTTAGAATATTGCATTATAAGAATCTGAATTAAAACATGTTCTTGTATAAATAAGATTTTGCAGTGATCAAGTTTGTATCCAATGCTGCTGTTTTATAGGTGTTCTGATGCTGTCTGGTACTATCTCTGCACTGCCATTGGTCACCATATGGTGTAGCTGTTCGTTTGAATGAAGCAGAGCTCTACTCAGATTTCTTGTATTGCGAAGGGTTGTTGCTGCCTCATGTTGCCAAAAACTAAAAAATGACCGATGCAGTTAATTTGTTACTGTAAATCGTATTCAGTGTCAAACCTGAGCCTGCTGACGCAGTTACGCGATTACATCATTACCTAAAGCTTTTACTTACGTCCACCGGTCATTATGAATGTTTATTCTTACTGTGATTTCATACAATTTCCCTGTTGTCCCTGAGGAATTTCTTAAAATGGTAAAAGCTATACCAAATGGTCTTGTTCACTTAATGAAATGTCATCTATCATTTGAAGTGATTGTAAAAAATGAACAGAAGTTTTTGGTTGAAGACAAGAGTATTTATGACAATAATGAAATGATAATAAATGTGTTTCAGTCAAGAAAAATAATTACTCTGAGGGGATTTATTTATTTAAATTTTTTTTTTTTTTAATGATTTAATAGATAAGATTAACAGGATAAAAACATGGCTCTTAACTTATACATTTTGTGTCCCCAACAAAGTAATTTTTTTTTGCATAATATAATACCCCACTAATGAAATTACATCAAAATTTGGTAATGCTCATTTGAACTGTAATTTCTGTCATTTCAGTATTCAGAGTCTATTGATCATCTTTTTTTTTTTTTTTCAAATACCCCCATGTTAAAGAATTTTGGCCTGACTTATATTCATAAATGTACATTTTCTTCAACTTTACCCAAATTACATAATTTTCTTTGTGACTTTAACTACCTAATTACAACAACAACAACAAAAAATGGTGAAATGGTGAAAC